ATATGTTTACTTTTGAACTTCACATATATGTGGTCTATCAAACTTGGTGCGGTGTCTCCTATAGTTCAGATTGGTTCATTCTTGAATGAGAAAAAATCTGTTACTGCCAGAATTGATTGTTATCTGTCAAGTTCAAGAAATTAATATTTCTGCCCGACATCACTATTCTTATATCGCTGTTAGATTGGTTCTTAACGTAATTTTCTGGATCGATTGAGAACAGATCTGAGTTTGTCGCTGGTGGTCTATAGGAGCAGATAGATGTGAATTGAATATTGTTGAGTGTGAATACAATTATCAGTGTATTTATTCCAGACTCATGTTAGATGGAAGTGTTGAAGTTGATTTCATTTTTATATTCAATCATTTCGTCATTTTGATTATACCGCGATTTGTTCTGAAGAATATCAAATTCAGGTATCCAGAAGTTCTAATAATCTTTCAATATCCAAGTTTCAGATGAATCAGTATATCCATATCTCTTAATATATTATTATTCGACTATTTGAATTGGTAGTTTATCGAAGTTCACATTCGAGCTCCTAATATCTAGGTAGAGTATATTTCAAAGGAAAATAGGCCCTTATGGGTGGATATGTTTTCCTATTTCCGACTTTCTTTCGACAACAACACTTGTTGGTATGCTTTCGAAAGGTCTATTTCAAGAAATTTATCGCCACCTCAAAAAATCGATTCTATAAATATCCAATTCGCGTTGAGGGGTATCTATGTACCTCCAGTTGAGGCACTCTTTGCTGATGTCTATACCCTGGCTTACCTGTTGCAGGATTCGGAAGACTGAAGTCAACATCCTTCTCGATTTCGACCTGAGTCCTAGCTGCCTCCACTGTCGTCGCTTGCACTTGCCCTTGTTCTTTCATCGCGAATTCCTTTGCTAGCGCCAGTTTCACCATTGTCGCCAACGTCACTGTATCACTAGAAGCATCTTCTTCGAAAAGGCGAGACATAATTGTTCCGTTGCTTATGCTAATTACGAAAACATCTTGCAATATTACCTTCAGTTGCACCTCACTGAATTTGCAATTCGTAGCTAGACTTTTCACTTTTGCCTCCCACTCAGCAACACTTTCGTTCGGACTTTTCTTCGCGTTATAAAACTTCACGCGTATAGAAGAATAAGATTCATCCCGGGAAAAATACACTGTCAAAATGTCGATAGTATCCCTGTGATTTTTCATTACTGGCAGGTCTGACACGCACAAATTTCGTAGTGAAACGTAGCACTCCTCGTTCAACGTATTCAACAATATTTCTTTCTTTCGCGCCTTCTCCGATATTTCATTAGCGATAAAAAAATGAATGGATGGTTTCCATGACTTGATAAAAAAATAGTTTTTCGAATCGAAACTGGATAATGTGCCTGAGAGTTCCGTTGCCATATTGTCAAATAATTTCTCACTTTGTTATGAATAACTGTTCACTAATATTTCCAACAATCGTCGCCTGTTGTTATGTAGGCCCATTAAGTGTGGAATGGAGCTCTACTGATATAAATGATTTTTTTATTCTAACGACTGTCTGAATATCAACTGCCCGAACTCTGCTGCCACATATCAGCAGGTATCGAGCGAATGTGTACAAAAAACTATATAAAACAACTCCTACAGAGTGGAGCTCTCTTATTCTGAACAAGATATCTAACAGTCCTTTATCAAATCCTGAAGGTCTCACATATTGAATTATTGTATATTTATATAGCTTGCAGAGGGCAAATTTCCACAATCCATTGCAGCTTGATCTGAAAATTCAACCCTCCATGCGCCCCCCATCTAACAGGACTATAGCAAGTGGGCATCAAGTCTGTGAAGGTACACTTCAATAAAATAATGAAGCATTGAATATTGACCCCCGGAAAATTGTCAGGATAATTTTGCCGAAAAGGGGCTGTTCTAAATTCGTGGCTAATTTCAGCTTCGAGTTCAGATCAAGAGACTTCAATTAATAAACTCCATGTCACTTCTGAGCCAGAGATCCTCTATGATGAACACAAGTTCGTAACGGATGTTGCTACTCGATTTCTTTGGTTTCCTCTTAATTCATCGATTTTCTTCTACTCCGTAGTCACCGATATCTTCTCGAATGTACCGGCTCTCTTTTTCATTCATCGTACCGTCGCCTTATAAAACAATTTCATCCTAATACTCGATATGAAGACTTCATGCGGGCATATCTAGAATCGAATCACATGTCACTCATACCTAAATTGTAATCTTCTCATGTCTGCAATATCTTCACTACTTCGTTCAGAAAACAGGAAGGACTACCACAAAATTGGGGGTGTTTTTCAATGGTTTGACGAATTTTGCCAAGCAAACACTTGTCGAATGATTCTCTTTCAACTAATTCCAGATTTCAAAATGACAAAGTTACAGTTTCGATAGATTTTCGCTACTATGCTCAAACCAAATGCGTCAACACACAGCAAATGTATCGCATGACACTTACAGATTCATCTCTGAGGATTAATCAGATGACACTAAGACGAATCTCTTCGGAAGAACCCATACAAAATTATGTTCTGAACACTGCTGTTGGTGATCTAACTTCTAGTCCATATTTAGCTCTCTGCAATCTCTAACAATTCGCAGGTCGGGAAAATGTAGAAAGATCCCCTGTCGCTCCTGATGTTACTTCAATATTCTCATCTCGACCCTTGCAGAACCTCGCAACTGAATTCCAGAATTGAGAACTCCGATGGTACTTGGTGGGTCCGAGCTCTGGAGATGGTCCACCAAATAGCCTTCTTTATAAGCGTCCTTTTCCCAATCTCATTGATTGAATAACTCACAATAATTTGATGCTGATACATCGTTAAAGATTTGAGGACTACACTGGAAGCTCATCATAGATTGCTCCCTTTCTTCTGTGAAAGTCATTGATTCATTCGATTCAGCCAAATTTCATGATCCTCAAGGATTTTTAGCACCTGTTACAGTTTTCACCTAATACATGATCCAGCGGTTGTGCGTCCCAAATCTTGGTAAGTATGATCCACCAAGTGGATGTAGCATTCGAGTTTAGACACGATATAAAGATGAATTCTGTTTCATTGTCCAATTCAAAGATGAATCGTCATTTGATATCAGCTTACGTATATGAAATTCACGTATTTCGTGATGCTAGTGGAGAAGGTTTTGATGTGTAATTCAATTGAGAGATATTCACCTGAATTTCAGCATCACAACCCACTCTGTTCGGGACAAATCGAATATGTCCTTACTCATAGAAAAACATACCTCGACCGTAATTGTTTGACGCAGGTATGCTCGCAAAATCAGTTTCATTCTTTGAGAACATCTCGGCACATCATATGCATATAACTACAATTTGTACAATCATGGTCTGATCCGCTAATCGCTGCACATTGGATCAAATAGTCTCCACACGAATCTTGGAAATTTGTTACTAACCGTGTAGAAAAAAAGTTGGTTCTACATCGACTCAAGAAATGATTTGGTCGATGTTGCCTCACAGGGTTTTTTTCCCTCTGCACTATCTGATGATCTGATGATATGTTTCGGTTTCACGGACCTGATTCTTCACGCGACCCTTGCCGTTCTTGATCGGAATTTTCTGCTTTTCTGTCCAATTGTGACCTTTCCTAGGATGAAGAACGCAAATTCATATTTTCCACTCAGTTCCTTCGTGAATGGAGAGGAATCGATGGTACTTCAGAACATTCATAGTATGGTGGAGGAACTAACACTGCTCAGCCAACATCTACGTGATCTGAACCACTTCAAGGCTGTCGGAACGCTAACATTTTGATTATTTCTAGCATATTTTGAAAATAAAAATTGATGAGAGTTTGATGAATCTTGTGAATCTTTGATACTCTGCTGTACATTAAAATTCAACAGACATCTCTCAATCCTTGCTGAATCAGGCGAATCCTTCAGAAATTTTGCGAATCTTAGACATCGCTTTGAGTATTATGATCATATTCTCTCCGAACTCCTCGAGAAATCCTGATGAATCATGAATGTGACATTCAAGAAAATTCCAATATATCAATATACCATACAACATGCATCATAATCAATACAACCTGAGATTGAAGATACGGTCATGTTAATTCCAAAATATATATCGTGCAATCGCCAATATTATCATCAGCTGAAAGGATGAATGTCCAGTTAATTCGAGCACCATCGAGTATACTTGATATCTTATCGAAATATCAACGTTGCACCATCATCGGCGTCCTTCTCGAGAACTAGAATATCACGAAACTCTTTGTTATTGGCCCCTTGTTCTACTGTTGGTTCATTGGTGTTGCTTATCTTGAACAAGTTTTGTACTCACAGTTCAATGGAATCATCATGACACCGTGAATGCATTATGCAAAATGAATAAAAACGCATGGCTATCTAATTTGCAGTGGGATAGCCAAGAAAATAGCCATCAGGCACCCCACCAAGGCACTGGGAAATTTATTCACACTCCTGATGTTGAATTAGGACCAGAGTGCGATGATCACGAACACTATTACAGAATATAAGATGAAGATGGGTTATGCACGTTCGATGATCGGCTACACGTCGAACACAAATGAAACAGCATTATTTGCATACGTCTGTAATAGCAGACCAGTAACATTTCACTGAGCAGTGGCGTATCTAAGTGCTACACGCCAACATATAGTGATCTTCATGTTGTTCAATATTGCCGACTGGGCGATATTTGAATTAAGATAGAAAGAAGTCGCGCATATCCAATATAAACCCAGGTATAGAATATATCCCTACATGACGGTACTGAACTGATTTCGAAATAAATTTAATGCACTCTCCATATTCCATGAATTTCAACATCGTTCACTATGCTCTGAAACAATATTCCATCCAAGAATCAAATTCCATCTAGATATTTCGTCAATCACAATTCCAGGACAATATCACTTTCAATCTGAAAATGAATTTACCGACCACTTTTTTATGCATGAAACTAATGAATTCTGATTATTTTTGTTTCCATAGCTTTCTTATTATGGGGCTCAGCAAGATTGCCATAAAAGAAACATGGAACTCGTTAGTATAGCTGATGAAACCAAGAGGGCAGAAGTGTTTGGAGCAATGTCTGGAAAAGGTGAGTTAATAGGTGATGATTCATGATCATTCATCGTCGTTATATCAGTTCTTCTCGGGATATTCAATATCGAACGCGTCAGACGAAAATAATTTTCCTGGAAAAACCGTGAACAAGTCTTTGTCCCACCAACTCGAGTTTGACAAGTGTGGCAAACGAATAATTCGTCGGTCTTGCCAAAAAATTTGCTCGCGAGGAGTATGGGTTGGGATCGATATGGAGCGTGAAGCAACCTTTGTTCCTTTCTGTCTCGTTGAAATTTCCATGCACACGGCTTGTCTGTAGAAAAATTATTCTTACCAGTCGTCAATATCAGATCATTCATCATTATATTCAATGTGTTACCATTTCAGCATTCATAATGAGTGCGAACGTATATTCATTATTTTGGTAGTTTCTCAGCTGAATTGCAATCTAGACTTCTATGGAAAATTGTATTTACACTCAGATATTTTGATACGTTGAATACAAATTCAATATCCAGTAGGCGCTTACCAATGATTTTTGGAATATTCGATCGATAGGAAACACGTTTCTGTAGTTTTCTTTTATCAATATGTTTCGTTTTCTTCTAGAAAAAGCATACCTGACTTATAATTTGACATTCATCCTATATGCATCAATGGTTCAGGTTACTCGTATGCTATTTTTTCAAAGAATTTTTCTGACCTATTATAGCGAATTTCTTCGGAAATTCACAGTTTTTTGAAAAAACATTGAAGTAACAAAAAAGTTAACTATCACTTCAGTGAATGATCAAGAATGAGGATGAACAGTTAACACGTAATACACTCAGAAAGATTGTACTTATAGGCGCAGTACAAAGATTTCGGACTCTTGGGTTCTCTTGAATACGGAATTCGTAAAATGAAGGAGCGATAATCTTAGATAATAACAAAATTTTCACCCGACTCGTATTCTTCCAGGTAGAAACTATCTCACATCTGCCCAGAAGAAGTTCTCTACATGGTACTGGGCAGGAGACATACCCATTACCCATTTTTACGAACACAATAACGTTCGTTCTGCGACCAGCCAGGATTGCATCGAAGTCTGCCAATATTGTGGCGGAATGATCGACAAAAGTTGTCATGCAGCAGGTTTTTACATGTGCGAACAAATATCACCCAAACCTGTGGATGCACGCCCACCTACGATCAATATATACGTCGATTCTATATTAGTTTTCCATGAAACTGGATCAGATTCAATTCTGGATTTCTTCATTTTCATTGATGGTAACTTCATCAATCTGTTAACTGATATCTGGACTACTGAAAGCTATTTATATACCTCAGTGGCCGAAAGATATCTGAAAATGGATTTCTTGACGTCTTTCGGCCTCCTAATGTGGCGATATCTTTGGATAATCGGGGCTCAGGGCCCTTGTTCAGGAACTCTGTTATAACACAATAAACGCATTAGGTACCTCTGTTTTTTAATTTTCATAATATGTACCTAACTTCATGATATTCCAAGAAAATTTTTTTCCTGACCCACAATAATTTCTCAATTGGCTGATGATGAATACTCCATAGATTTGAAACTTGTGCCCTGTCCGTTTATGATTCGATGATATCAAACGTTATGGAGATGACTTGGAGTATAATAAATATATATCAAGTACCAGTTATGTAGTTCTGCGGATTCGTTGGCACTGTTGTACAACAATTATTTGGATTTCTCTTCCCCACCCTAAATTTCCAATTGTCACTCGAAATCTGGGATTGTAACTCAGGACATCAAATGGTTATTCGAAATCACGAACTGTTTCTCGAAATTCCGACCTGTAACTCGAAATTCCGAATTGTACCTCGGACATTCGAATTTTAACTCGAGCATTCGAATTGTTACTTGTAATTCAGACTTGTAACACGCAGTTTCGTATTGTTCTTCGGAGAGTTCCAGATTGTATTCTAGAGTTGATACGTTCTCACGGAAGAGTGAGATATGGACAAGAAAATGACCCTGCATTCACGCAATATTCAGTTCCACGATATTCTTTTGGTAGATCAGGGATCAATTATGCAGGTACATAAGTTACATTCATATCGTTTTTCTATATATGAATGACACCCAATCACTCGTCACTTCCTGAAATACCCCACTTGTCCCATTCGAATTTCCTCAAGAATTTAAACGCGGCTACTATTCAACGTTCATTCACAGTGTTGCAGCTGTTGCATGATATGTTCGTCCGCCATATTAGACGCGAACCCTAGTCGTGAGATATACAGTTGAATCCTGTGATATTCCCGAAATCAGTTTCGAAATTCATTCGAAAGTACTGTATAGAATTCAACTGTCAAGTATATCGTCCCCTTCTCCATCAACACGAATGATATTGAATTCCTAGTTACAGGTTGTGAGTCTGAGTTACGAATCAAAACTCTGAGTTACAATTCCGAATTCCGTGTTACAACCTGGAATTCCGAGACACAAGATAGAATTCCCAATAACAATTCAAAATTTTCAGTAGATATTTGGACTGTCAGGTGATAATTCGAAATTCCGAGTGACAATTGGTAATTCGGGGAGAAAAAGAAAAATCTCATCAATAGTAGCACAACAGTGCCAACGACTCCGCAGGAGCACATAACTGTTACTTGATATCCAACTGCATAGGAAATTGCCTGAGATTGAAGTTGAGCACCCAATATTGAACTCGGGCGTTTGAGACCGTTACCACCAAGATTAGATGGCCAGCAGACTCTGGCGTTAACAGCTCGTGACGTCACCTTAGAGAGGCCACTGTATCATCGCTTGTCGACTAACGCGTCATTTCGTGTTGATTCATCGGTTATTCACGAATGTTTTCGAAGCGGTCCGAATCTTTCTGTTGTTTATTCATCGAAATAATTGGCAGAGAAATTACATCTTTGTGAAATATTTTGTGTTGTGATAGGCGAAATAACAATGCCTTTCAAGTGTTGTATTTCCTTATGTCGGAAGAATAATGTGGGTGTTTGGAAAGTTTTATCTCTGGACAAGAAACCGCGAGGATTTTATTCCATCTAAGTATAGTAGTAAACAGAGCAGAGTTAGTTTTGTATTCGTATATTATATTCAACAAAATCATCTCTGAATTCGAGGAAATTTTCTTCAATGTTCATGATAAACGGGCATCTTCAACTCGATACATTCTCAAATTCCTTTCTGAAAACGTTCATCTGCCTCGTAGCAATGAATGCAGAATTAATTCCAATGATCAAATCGCAAGTTTTATATTGACATGTACTACGAATACTCCACTCAAAATGGTGAAACTGCATTCATCATGGTACTCACGTATTTTTGTCTTAAAAACACAAATTTGATAATGAAAATGTAAACAAACCATCATTTATTGAGATATTTGACTATAAAGTAACAAATGTCGCCTTTTTCCACGCCTGTCTTCTAGATGGCATCTATAACAGTGTTTCCTTCTTTTTTCATCATATTGGACATTTTATAAATATCACAATGTATGACACATTTTTTATATTATTTGATTCAACTATAAGTATGATTTTGTCGAGACTCATCCATTTTTAGTGAAAAAAAAGGGAGAATATCATTCAAAATAAGTACGTGTGTAATTTCATTTCAAAGCAATCTATTGAGATTTGACATCTCGTATTTTGATTGACTATTATTTGAACTGCCATCGTCTGGAATGCTTGTTCACTAAATATGAAAAACTCGCCGTGAAAATCATATTTTCTGTTGAATTTTCTATATTGAAATGTGTCATAGAAGTACATCATGAGTATATGAAGTATCCAATGACAAAATAAGAAGAGCAAGTAGCTTCAAATGCCCTCAACAAGAAGGGAGGAAGTAGGTGAAATTTTGCACTATTTCTAGAAATATCTCGATAAATAGTGGTTTGTTCACATTTTCATTATCAAATTCGTATTCTCCAGACAAAAATACTTGATTTTCAACAAAATTTTCCGAGAAAAAAACCATCGCATGATAAATTCAGTTTCACCCTTGAAAATCACTGTTGCAAGTCTAACGATCAATTGGAAAAAGAATCCAACAACAGGAAATTGAAAACACTCACTGGCAAATTTTTTAGGTGATAGGAATTCTCCAAGATGAAAATAGGTTACTATAAGAAACGGCATGAATATCAAAATAAAATACAATTTCCACAATCTCCTCTCGATCAATCTCACGATGTGTATATCGTGGGCGTAAAAGCAGAACCCTGCAAGTCCGCTTTTCTTGGAAATGAGGAATTTATCACACATAAGTCCATATTAGCGTAACGCTCCAGGCAAATAAACATTCAAGTCCATTTTGCGTTTGTTTCCGGAGATATAGTCAATGAAAATCCACTTAAGTCAATTTCGTTATAATTTTACAGGTTCATTCAAATATTCAATTGTGTTTTTCTCCTTATATTATTTTCTGGACTTACATGATTCTGCTTGTACGCCCACGATATGTTTTGCGTGCCCTGTAAAAGTAGGTGTGAGGTTTACCACGATCACAATTTTTGTCAATATTTTCAAATCGAATGGGTTGCTGTAGGTGGGTATCCGTGTTTCATTCTGGTTTTTGCTTCGAAATTTCGTTTCACAAAATCGGCTCAATAATGATCTGAAACCAAAATTGAAATACGCGGTCGCCTCATAGCGTCTCAAGCGCTTGTCGTTTCGAGCCGCTGGTTAGACCTCACTAAGGTAACGTCACCACGGAGGATGCAGGCCTTATTGTCTCGATGGTAACGTTGGGGCTCACGTCGAATGCTCTAGATCAAAGTCGGGTGTACGAGATCAAAAGCGGGCGCCCGAGATCAAAATCGGGCGCACAAGATTGAAGTCGGACGCACAAAATTGAAGTCGGCCGCCAGGAATTGAAGTCGAGCGTACGATTCCAAAGTCCAGTGTCCTAGACCACATCAATTTGTTTGTTGCACTTATATACACCTATAATTTCGTCATCCGTCCCTGGCTTCTGCCATATCGCACACTCACCATATTGAAGCATTCTCTTCATTAGATCGGAGTGCTGAAACGAGGGAAGTTTTTTTCATCACTTGGAACGCACAAATAAAACATCCCTATAATATTCAGAGGATATCGTGTGTATCTAGAAATAATAGAGAGAGGAGGTTGGTATTGGATTTTTGTTTGAGTGTGAGTTCTTGGGAGAACTCTCTTTGGCAAATTCACTTTCCGCATGTTATGAGATTCGGCGAGATCACAAGGGGGTTCAAGAACCAATTCAAACTCGGTGTATTTCTTGAGATCTTCTACACATTCATTCAAGCGAGTGATTCTGTTGAATAATTGTTGTGTATTTGACAGGAATGATATTACCTCAACTTTGATCGCTGATTTCATCATCCTTCGAAGAATCTCTTGCTTACTTGGATATAAGGACGTCGAATATTTTCGCATTATTGATTTTATCAATTATCTGCCTGTCAGGGCTATCATTAAAAACTCCGGAAAAAAAATCATCAGGTCTTTTGTTATCTGGAACATATAAGGAACTTTGGATCATTATATCAATCACCTGATCTATAACGCGATATCCGATGCGATTTTGATGAAAATGTAGTTTCTGACAAAAATGTTAACTTTCATTCCTCTGAAACTCTTGTCAAATACTTCTTTGATACGTGCAACGGTTTATGATGGCTCAAAATCTGAGAATCTGTCATTATCTTGCAAAATGGTGGTTGTAGTACAGCATGCTCATATGTTGATTTCTGCTATGTTGTTGATGATCACTGAAACCTGGCTATTTGACACGGTGAACATCGAATCACATCATCTCGAAATCTATGCAATATTTTTTATAGACGAATGAAATTGCAAGTGTTTCCTTCCTAGACGCCGACTAGCGCTTTAGTGGTTCAGGAACGCGTGACTACCTACAGACCGTTATTTGTCGATAGCTACCTACCATTTTGTTACATTTTATGAACTGTCGTGGTAATGACTTCGGGTTCCTCTCTCTTTATGACCATTGCATTCCACTTTTTTCCACTATTAGGCTCTTTCCTAATTGAAAACACGCCAGTCGGGCAACCAGCCACTCTCATTCCACATGAAACGAGATCTAGTTTTGGATTGTTTCTTTCCTTGCCAGGTGGCGTTGTCGTTCATTTTGCGGACATTGAACTCCACGTGGGGTGTAAATTCTGAGATTTGTTTTCGTTGGGTTAGGTTCGCACCAGAAAGCGGTCACGAATTCTATCTAAGACAGCCCTGAACTGATGAAAGTCAACAGGAAAAGTAGTTGTTTGTCTCTCATTATCCATCATTTTATTTCATTCCATGAACTATTGTGGTAATGTCTTTGATTTTCTCTCTCTTTGTGAACATTGCATTCCACTTTGAGTATGTGGCTTTCTCCTAGTTGGAAATGCACCAGTTTTGGAGTGTGGAGTAGGATTCCAAGAATGAACAGATGTCATCGTGAGAGTACACACGAGAAGCTACAGCAAGAGTTCTGAACGCTGCAATCATCATACACTGATGACTTGAATGAGGTTCACTCACTGAAGTGATATCTGGATTGAGATTGTGAATGCACCGAATCGGTCTGAGTATGACGTTGACCAGGTAACCTCTACAAATTTTTATTGAATCGTCATCGACCCAGGCAATAACTGAATATATCGTCGTTGAATTCGATAAGTGGCGTATGTGAATTTTTCACTATTTCTGAAGAGATGCAGTCCAAGGTTCACGGAATGTTCACGACGTCTCTATCTGCAGAAGAGTAAGAAATCTTTGTGATCAGTGAGAATATACATAAAAAACGCAAGTACCGCAGTCTAACATAAAGAATCATGAGAAAATATGCATAGCGAATGGATAATTCAGAGAGGAAATTAATTTACGGTACATAGGTACATAAACTCATTTATCAACATTCATAGGGAACACATCTATGATTTGATATCAATTGCCAATTTGAGAGCAGATATATACACTGTTTTCAATTCATTATTAGATATTATATCATTATATATTTGGATACTGTATTGTTCGTTCTTCAACAGATTATCCAAAATTGACCTGACAATATCCTATACTCATGTATGTATAAGTCTATTTAGGAATAAGGAAAATTGAATTGAATTGAATAGTTTTCTCCCCGTATTTTTAGCACTTTGTTCTACTCGAGCTATCATGAGATTCACGCTTGTTTTCATCAGACTAAAGAACACCAGTTTGTGTCTATATTTCCATATCATTTTTTCAGAAAAATTGCAATTTTATAACAGCGAATTCCATATTCGCCAATTTGCCTCACAATATTGTATTCATTCCAGATATAACGCTAGAATTGAAAATCATTATAACATCTCAACTATAAAGAATTCATATACGCCAATTTGAAAGCAGATGAATCAACTCCGGCGTTATTTGTCAAACCAAAAATACAATTTTCGCCTTTTTTCGATAAACGCCCCTCTGTAAATCCACTGACAACATGAACTGATGTTTTTTTGAAACTCTTTTTATTCTTCAGGACCCTAGGCTGGCGCCTTTGTGGTGATTCGCAACTAAATAGAGTCATGTGACATCATTTAACTATGAGGAATTCCTTGAAATTTCATCAATTGATATTCTTCGTTGTCTATCTGAAGTACTCGATAGAACCTTTAAAAAATTAATACGTGAAATCCTTATAACGAATTCAGTCAAGTCACCATTATCAGTGCTACGCCTGGATTCATAATAATATCATATACTTCCAAGTTTGTTATTTTTGTTTTAGCTGTGAATAGTGTTGGAACGAATTCTGCTTATACATTGATAAATACAACAGATGGAAACCAACAGAAACTCATCAGTTCAACCTCGAATGGACAATCTGAAGATTCCAATGGAGTCTCAATAACAGTCACCATTTCCAATGAAGGTGAGATGAATGATGCAGTTCTGAGAAGTAGAGCAATTCTTTTCAACGAAGAGTGAAGTGTGATCATGGTCTCCAAAACTCTTTTTCCAAGTATCAACCCATATGATCAAATTGGCGGCACAAGTCAGATGAAAAATAAAATAAATCCTAGGCACTCAAATTCAACTGATTCGAAAAAAAACCGGATATGCAGTACTGGCCAGATTTTCGTCGAGAGTTAGCTGGTTTGGCTACGTGAATCGTGAAACCTCGAGTACATTTTTACTAACTTGAAATATAGATGTAACGTTCGAGTACGTATCATCCATTCTTGAACTATTTACATTCTCGATAATGTTTCATAATAATGTTTCACATGCTTCAAGTTATACAAAGTGTTGCGAAATTCGACTGACAACGGTTGACAGGTGATTGCCCTCGTGATTTCATAATCACTGAGATAGGGATATACGGTCCTTAAGTGTTCAGTTCTCGAGATACAGGGCGTTGAAGTTGAGAAATAAAAATATCTGTCCCTTGATATCTCAATAAAACTTGATTATAATGCATTCAACTTTGGTATATGGTTTCATTTTTGAATGGTTCAGTTCTTGAACAAGAAGCCATTTTGGACATTTTATCCAGTGGTGCTCTACAGTTTTCGAGATATTCGATCCAAAATAGAAGATTGCATAGTTATATTCAATTATATTCAACTGTTGAAAATTGCAAGAATATTTTTCTGGTGTTGAGTAGATTGAGAACTGTTCAGATCTCATTCTATAGCTGAACAGAAATAATTATTCCACGCATGAAGAGAAAACAATTTTTTCTGTAATATTCTACTGCTGAAGAAAATGAGAAGTTACTCTGCAAACTTCAATTCCGGGTCAAATATCTTGATAACTGTTCATTACAGCTCAGTTGAAGATGACGCAGTTTCTCATCATAATGAAACAATCAATTCGAGAAATTGGAAATGATCGAAATTTCATCAGTGTCGTAGAAAATATGGGAGAAAAACACGCTCCACTTATCCTGCTCGTCAACAAGAGAGGGGACCGTGTGCCTCCTGAGGTGAGCGAAATCAGAAACCGCAGGAGCCTACTCAACGGCCCTGTGGACCCAAGACCTTGCAAGGATGGATGAATCGCTTCGGGAAACACTTCCTGAAGGGGCTGACATCTGGCACATCAATTGTGACGTGTATGACGTGGTTTGGTCCTCTCTGCCAGAGGGACCTAAACAATCGGTCTCACCGATTGAGAGGGCCGATCGGCGTGTACGAAAGATGAAAGCCAAGATCCAGTCGGCGAGACAACACACTTTCCGTATCCAGTGTGTGATGGATTATGTGAGTGCCAACAGGCCATTCACATCCAAGGTGCGACGGATGGCCACTCAATTACGTCGCACTCATCAAACACTAAATGAGGCGGTGCTATCCACCATCAAACAGCATTGCCTTGAAAGGATACGGATGTACTTGGCTACAAAACAGTCACTGAAGAGGCGAGCGAGAGGGCTGGCGAAAAATAAACAATTCCGCGGTGAGCCCTCTTGCTTATTTCAACCGCCTCCAAGTGTGGTTGACAATCCGCCGACTGCTGATCAGGTGGAAACCTTCTGGCAGGGTATTTACGGGGTGTGGCATCCATTCAACAGAGATACTCAAGCCCTGGCGCAGTTCGGTAACTTTTGCGGAAGATACCGAGAGCCTGTGCCCGAATTACTGCGCTAACCGATAACCACTGAGGAGGTTCGAGAAGCCCTGAAAGGCTCTAAGAACTTTGCTGCCCCTGGTCCGGACGGGATGAAAAACTTCTGGTGAAAAAAGTTTTCCTGTATTCACCACCAAGCCAGCCAAGATATTCAATATCTGGCTAAATGGGGAGCAGCAAATCCCTGAGTGGTTTATCGAGGGGCGAACCGTGCTCCTTCCCAAGACTGGAGATTTGTTCAATCCGAAGAATTACAGACCAATCACCTGCCTAAATGCATGTTACAAGTTGTTTACACGCATCTTATACATGCGAATAATCCTAGTAGTTGATCCGGTTTACCAACGGAATTTCGAGCAGCGTGGGTCGAAGAGAGGTGTCGCTGGCTGCAAGGAGAACCTGTTGATTGATAGATTCATCACACAGGACTCTGTGCAGTACCAGCGAAATCTTTCTGTGGCCTGGATCGATTACCGAAAGGCATTTGACACAACGTCACATGAGTTACTCATGTACTTGCTCAAATGCCTTTCGGTACCCGATTCTATAGTGAGATGCATAGAACAACTGATGCAGATCTGAAAGACTCGCTTTACTATAACATCAGGTAATGCGAGAGTCCAGACAGAGCCAGTCATCATAAGGAAAGGAGTATTTCAAGGAGACTCCCTTAGCCCTCCCCTATTCTGCATCTTACTTCTGCCACTATCCGTTGAGGGCAAGAAAACCAGAGGATACAACTGCGGCCCATCCAGTTACCGGAGGCATAAGGTCATCCACTTATTATATGTGGATGACCCCAAACTTTATGCCTCTGGTAAAAGGGATATGGACCAATCCCTTAGGGTGGTGCAGGAGTACACTCAGGCAATTGGAATGGAATTCGAAATAGACAAATTTGCACTGGTTCATCTCAAGAGAGGACGATGCAAGAACTACGACAAGGACGCGCAGCTTGTGGACGGGAGCATCCTACACCACCTAGATGCCGGAGATACCTACACTTACTTGGGTTTAGAAGAAACTCATATCCAGGAGGCACATCGGGTGGAAGACGCTTTCCGAAGCAAGTATCGGCAGCGGCTCCGACAGATCTGGTCGTCAGAACTGTCGGGCAAGAACAAAGTCGCTGCTACTTATATGCTTGCTATTCCGATCTTACTTCACTCATTTGGAGTAATGAATTGGACTCAAATCGAGCTGCGATAACTTGACGTAAGTCCTCGCAAGATAATGCATCTCCATAGGAATCTGCATCCAAATTCATTCGTTCCACGGTTATACATACCTAGAGATCAGGGTGGCCGTGGACTCTTGAGCTTGGAGTATCTCCATAACAGAATGGTTCCGGATGGCGCCTGCAAAGTCATCAGGAGTTCGGATCCCCTTCTGCAAATGGTTAAAACCCATGAAGAGGCAGGGGTTGAAGCTTTTCTTTTTAGGGCAGCACGTCGAGCAGCCGATGAATTGTCTCTGATTTTCGACTCCGAGCGCAAGGCTCAGGACTCAGTAACTGAGCTAGAGCCTGCTCGGAGAATGGCTTGCATCAAAGCTGCAGAAGTGAGAAAGCACCTGCAGCTCCACATGGATGAGCTCATTCATTCGGTCTACTTCGAGACCATTGGAGACCGAAGCTCATCCAAAGAACTGACTCCTGCTTTTCTCAAGTCAGGCGGGCTCAAATCAAAAACACAGTGGTTCATTATGGCACGCCAGGATGGGGTTTTCAACACCCTCGTCTACCGTAGCCGTGTCATGGGTATAGAGGTCCCTGACACAAGTTGCAGGGCGCCCGAGACAATTATGCACCCGCTGTCTTGCACGGTGTATGCAGTCTCGGCCTATATCCATAGACATAATGTGGCATTGCGAGTGCTCTACTGCTATTTGAGGCACTCGTACGGAATAGACGAGACCTCAGTGCTGCCCTTTGCTTCTGGGGATATTGAGTCCGTTGTGGAGAATAAGAGGTGTCGAATTTATTGGATCTTCTCATTTCCCACCCTCAGGCAAATTCAAGCTTACAAGCCTGATGTAGTCCTTCTCGACCATCAAACCAAAGCGATGTTCCCGATCGAATTTCCGGTGCCAGCCGAACCGAACATCGTTTTGAAGGAGGAGGAGAAACAAATATCGAGATCTTCTCTTTGAACTCCGCAGGCTCTATCCAGAACATTATGTAAAATTCGTCATCCTGATAATCGGCTCCCTAGGAGGCACACGAAATACGCTGCTCTCGGAAATCCAGAAAATCCTAGCGTGCAGCGATGAGGCACATATTCTGGCTGGTGAGATGCAGGAGGCTGTCATACTTGTATCATTGCGTTTACTCAGGGCACACGGTTCTTGGTCTCAGTGATTATTCACCCCACTGGCTTGGGCAGTTGTCACTGGATTTCATTCAGCACGACTCTGCGTGGCGTCGGAGGCCGCAGGGTCGTGACTGTAATAATGTGAATTCAAATTGAAAGAATGATAATGAATCGTCTTCATTCATCATTTGCAGGAAAAAAATTGCACGAATAAAAATCGGAAGACAAAGATGATTTACCATACCTTATATACCTATCTGCAGTAGTGAATAGGCGGAGTATCAGCAGAAAGCTATTCTTCAATTCAACCCCAAAATTGTCGAAATGTCTGTCTGGTCAAAAAATCAACCAATGAAAGATGAAACCATATACCTACCGAATTTGAATGCATTATATTCATTTTTTCTTGAAATATTGCGAAAAACCTATTCGAATTTCCCAACTCCAATGCCCTTTTCCTCGAGAACTGAATACTTGAGGACCGTATGCCCCTTTCTCAGTTATGATGAAATCAGGAGGGCAAGCGTTGTCGGTCGAATTTTGCAACACCCTGTAAATGAGACATATTTAAGAAGATTTGATACATGTTTCTTCGTGTGTGATGATTGCGTCAAATACTCGTATTGCCGTCTGGGAACGCTAGGCACTAATACTCTTCGACCCACCCAATAGATGTTCATTCAGTGAATGGACAATCTCATATACAGGTTGGATGCAAAGTTATGAGACAATGAAGATATGGACAAAATTGATGAAACATCCTGTATCTCGGTTATAAGAAGTCGAAGACCCATCAACCATGGGTTTTTTGAAATCACCTCAGTGACCCCTATTCACAGTCGAATTATTCACCTTTCCCAACAACAAAACTAACAAAATGCATCTTGGTGCTCCTCCATACTTGTTCTGTGATATGGCAATTATCATGTTTCGCAAGTCTTCATCTCATTTCTGTTGGGTTATTGACCATGAAATATTTCAGCAAATGATAATGTTGTTGGACATCTTCAATTTCATTTTGGTCCACTCAGATTATTCCTTGTACCAGAAATACTGAACTGGAATTTGGAAATGATTAGATTCCAGATTATAATATCATTAAAAGCTTTCGAATTAGTAATTGGGTTGATTCCTCAGCACAAATGAGGTAGAAACGAACAAAACATCATCATCCTGATATCATGAACTAGTAGTATGGAGAAGCACCAGAATGTATTTCATTATTCATTTCGAAAACCAATGCACATTCATCACAATGAATACTTGTGAAACGAATTCGAGAGAGAAATCCCTTGAGAATTTCAAAATATCAAAGAGAATCTGGGAATAATATTGTTCTTCATCGAACTCTCACGGCCCACCGGTGAAGTTTTCAATGATGGTGAGGAAATTCCAATCGAACTATTATGGTCTCTAGTTCACCCTGTATCAGTCATGGTACGTTGTTCTGAAACACCTCATATATTGCATGCAACATTGTACTGGTATTTGTCGGGTATCTGTCTCTTCGTGTTGGCTGATTATTGTTTCGATTATATCTGAATGATTTCAGATATCTCAGCTTACTCAGCTATCAGTAATATTTTATTTGTGATATTATTCCATTGTGAACACCCTGACATTCTGGAGAACGCAAATTGACTGATTTTGTTCAGTTCGAGTGAATTATATTAGTTTGTTCAGATGGAAAAAAATATCACTATTATTATTCTGGTACTCACTAGCGTTTTGTGTCATGTGCAGATTGTCCGTCAAATATTGAATAGAATCGATATTTTCAGATGAGAAGCTCTTTTAAAAAAATCTGGGGTTCAATTTGACCATAAAACTATTCATTTTTTGATATTCTCAGGTAGAGATTCCGAAAATACAAATTTTTTGTTTTAGTTACCAATTTGTCCTCATGGTCCATGCACTCATGAGTATTTCAATTAGTTGCTCTACGCTTGACTTCATTTCTACTCCAAATTAATTCTCAGCAATAAGTAATTCGAAACATTCACAAACTGATTGAACAATATGATACTTCTCAACTGTTGGTTAGGTACTTAACGTAATTAAGGAATTGAATTTTAGAACAACAATTATTCACTGAGGAGTTGTAGGCTACTTTTTGACACTGTTGAAATTATTTTTTGTCCTAAATTAAATAGAATTAAGTTGATGACGTCATCATTCTGATATATATGACTCTGCGTAATGAAATTCAGTTGCGAAATGTTGAGTATCTGATTCAAAAATCGACGTGTCACGATTTTTTCGAGAAAGCGTTCAGTTCCATACTGTACGGACACACAGTATATATTATGGTCCCACAAATGAAACAATTCATTGTCCCAGAAATCTTGAAACAATAATATTAATTATAGTTTCTGATAGATACTACTCTGACTGCCGCTATTATCAAACTGATTCAACTTCGTTTCTATGGCTCTGGTTCCAGGCGAGACTTCAGTCCAGGACATTTGTACGAAACATCACGTTTGCACAACCATAAAATGTCATCGTTACGTATCAAACAGCATTATTTCCTCATGTGGCTATATTCTGAATTGAACTGGTAAGTACTTCCAGTGAATCCACTGACTCTGCTGAAAGTATGTGTTTCGAGATATAACATCAAAAATACAGTGCTGTAATTTGAAACATGTTTTCATCATTTTCACAAGTCATTAGCAGGAATAGATCAGCTGGTGAAATTTTAATATAATTTCAAGCGACAATTATTCCAGCAACAAGCATTTTCTGATATATTGAATGATATTATTAATTTATGATTGATAATGCAAGGCTTACTCTTTGGAAAACAAGAACATTAATTTTCCCTATAGAATGATGACAGTCCACTGAAGCACACCACATGCCACACTACCAGTCGATATTCAGCAATTTCAGCAGAATGTTGAGTAGCAATATCTGGAATGAATACATCCTATATCTACCCAGTATCTGTTACTTTCAGTTTTCTTCTTTTATTTCGAAATAAAGAATCAGCAGATTCAGTAGTGTCAGTTCAATCCAGAATAATATGGCCTGTGGGTTCGTGAATGGCATGGTTATATTTCCTCAGTATGAATATTATCTCAATCACTGTTTTGATGCCAAGATTTTTGTTTCAATTCATGAGTGGAATCGAGAAATGTCCCTTGTTTCTTGAATATACATTATATATTACATTCAAGCAAATAACAAGGTTTTTGTACTATTATCAAAACGACAATATGAATTTTGACTTTTTGTGTCTGATTTTATCTCGAAATATCTATGGAAACAACTTGAACTGAATTTTCTTCATGAAAATAGTGCTTCTCACACCCAACCTGTTTAAACTTGCAGATCTTTTCACACCTGCACCTGTAGCACGCCAGGTGTCGCAAAGGACTTAAAGGAATAATTGTGAGTTAGAACGAAGATGTTCTCCATGAAGAGTTACCGGTTCTCAATGCGCCTAAGATCAAATAAAGTGAGAAATATAATACAAATCAGGACCAGTGATTCCATCAATTCCATTTGGGATGATTGTTTTTATTCCTGACGTTGATGAAAACTTCATAGAATTATGATGATTGCTGAAGTGAGAACTATATTTATCTGAGAACGGAGAGAGTTCCCAAAAGATTCAAATATGGGTGAAATATCATATACTTCTTCAAACAGCTCTCGAAATCATTGTCAGTGGCATTCGATTGAAATTTTCATTCAGGTTTCTGATGAAGATATATGAACGCGTGACAGTGTTTCTTATATCTCAAAGGGCACGAAGGAGAAAGCCTACATTGTTACATGAACATTGTGCGTACCTGATGAGGATAGTGAACAGAGGTAGGTATTGGATAATTTCATCAACTTCTGGAGATCATTGATTGATTAATTATCTGACAAAGAATATCGAGATGATAGTCATATTTTTATTCATAGAAGTAGGAAGAGGAAATTATAAAAATATAGGAACATGAGATTTGACATAACATAAATGTTATATTCCACAATCTTGTGATTTTGATCAATCCACTTGATACTATTAGTCTTGAACAAAAAAATTCAGAATATTAGTAAAGAAGAAATGACCAATCCATTGCTATTTCCCTATAAAAAATGTTATAGAAATACTTGTTCGGCACATGAATGAGGAACCTTGCTGAAAAGAGCTCTGCGAATTCACAGCCTCCATCTCAGATCAACAATTTTCACATTTATTTTGGTTTTGCTAACAAAGGCAGTCTGTGATCAGGGATATCCCTATATCTATCTTCAAAACCCTGACGAACAATGAAGATCGCACGATAACTTCAAAAACATGACCTTTTTGCTAATTGTTATCGCAATATTTCAGAATTATCTTCCTATGATATATTCATAGTATTTTGGATCTGCGATTTCGATTGTTATCACTAATTGAAAATTTCATTGAATAGCATTATGTCCGGAGCCGACTACCACTACTATCGCTACTACCACAACGATTGCTACGACTGATGTTACTACTACAGATATTCCTGAACCAGAACCTAAAACCTATTTCTTCAGTCCAGGCAAGGTAAACAACAAATCAATTTTTTTTCTATAATTTAATGAGATATGATTTGTTTAATTCCCAAACCTACTATTTATTGCATTAGGTATTTTGGTATTACACTTATCCGAGATGTGAATGTTTGCGAGATTATAATCACATATAAGGCAAGAAGAATCTTTCGAATTGAAATCTTATCATCATACAGGGTGATTGATCTGATTGATAAGGGGTTCGTAGATAAATAGATGGGACATCAATCCTTCACTTATTCGAGATATGAATGTGTTCGCGAGTTCATATTCACGAATAAGGCACAAAGAATCTCTCGATTTGGAATTTCATTATTATACAGGGTGATTCATCTGATTGATGCAAGATTCTAAGATCAATGAAAGGGACATCAACCTGAAATATTTGTAGCTGCTATAGAATTGAGGTATTCGAACAATTTTGACAGATGCAGTGACATCTATGTAACTCACAATTGTGATGAAAATATATAAATACGTATCGATGCATTTATTTCAGAAGGAAGTAATTGAGAGCTTGCGTGGAATAGGACAGAAATGTAATTGTTTTTTTTTCGTCATCTTTCATTTTTGTTCATTTCATGAACAATAATGTGTTCGAATTACTCTGAGTTTCCGAATCTGAATCACATTCTCCATTGCTCACCAAAATGGAGATTTAAGTTGTAAAGTGTTTCTCGCTATCTCCTCCAGATGTCGCTACTCTCATGATGTATCGAAATAATTTGTTTCTATGATGGTGTGTGAGTCCCATGACTCAAGTCAGGAAAATATTACTGAACACTCAACCGTGTTTGGGAGCTCGTCTGACCTATGTATCCGACGAAACTCAGGAGGCCTATTGGCCAATTGTATCTTGCCCACGAGTTTCTAATGTTTTCATTGTACCTATTTTATAATCTCTGTACCGTGTGAGAGTCTAGATGTGAGTTGAATACTTCTGATTCGCCAATTGGCTGCCAAAGAAGGAATATGCTATTTTGTGGAACTTAGATTAGCTTGACGTGGTTTTGGTCTGCCAAAGTTTCTAGTTCACTTTTGCAATGCCACACGTGTTGCGACATCACTTTATGGCTTTTCATTGCGTTAAGTGTTGCTTGTCTGTCTGACAAAATGCGGATCTGCTCATTTTCCATGGCTCTCCTGTTATGTTCTTCTGCACATTGAAAAATTGCGAACACCTCTGCTCGAGAAACTGAGACATACTCTTCCATTGAGTAGCTTGGGCTAGTCTTCAGGTCTTAAGAGTATGCTCCTGACCCATTTGCAGTCTGCAACTACCGACGCCGTTATAATGGCGTTCAGGAAAAGTTGCAAGAACTCACCCCAGATTGGATGTCGTAGTGAGAGCGTCGAGTGCTCGTTCAATTCAAGGTATATTTCAAGTTTCGTCGAATTTTTTCTCCACCAACTGATTCAATGCGAATTTACACAAAAAGTATATTTTCAGTAGGCGGAATGGTACTGCCATGTTATTCTGTTTTTCATGAAAGGAAGCTCTTTTTTGATTAGGTGGTTTTTTTGACTCCGAATGTTGGCGATATGCATTTTCTCCATTCAATGTGAATATTCAGTGTTATATACCAGGTGATTCTTCGAAGTGAAAGGCAGATGTGCATGCTCATTCTGATTGATATTTTTGTACATATCCATTGCTTCACCGTATCTCGTTCCATGATCGATGAGGAAATGTCACAAAGAAATCAACGATATCAGATTGGATAGGTTATTCCGAATGATGATAAAGATATTCGTCATGATATTATCGATGCCAATGATGAGTTATCAAAGGGTCGTGCAATGCTTTCACTTTATTTCAAATGCTCAGTTGGATGAAAGTTGGCGATAGGGAGTCGATAATATCGATATTATAAAGGGGAATTATAGGGTAAAATAAAGCTCCTTGTATTCTTTCATTCATCATGCCATCCAGTATACCACACAACAGATGGTTTTCGTTCATGTTGCCCAGGCCAGCTCCGAAACTGCAATCCGATGCTAATTTCCAAAGTTTGGCAACAAATTTGCTGAATGTCTGATCAGTTACCTGATTGCAGTGCACCTAACCTTACCTGTGATATTGTCACGAGTAGAACATACGGTATATTAGTAATTTCGAACCATGAGGGTTTTATAAACATAAAGTTGATCAAATCATCCGTTGACATTGAATTATAAAAACTGACCAAGGCACTCTCATGAGAAACGTGCATATCAAATAAAATGATGTATATGAATATAGGATGTGAGGGTTCCGAAGTTAGTCTGGTCTGGGGCTACTCTTGACTTGACAAAAGTTCATCGTAATGGTCATCATAATGTAAGTTGTTATGAAGTCTCTATATTCATTGTTGTTGATTCATATTTATTATCGTTACCCATGATGTTTCATGCTTCAATACATATTGTTTTCTTTGAATATATTCTCGTACTTTCAGTTACCCCTAAACTATTAGTGCCTTCTTGAGTATTACACCTCTCGCAAACTATTGAGCCAAGCATCGCCCCTTATAAATCGATATGGATGCACCAAACATCTATTCATCATGTGTTTTTTTTCTGAGGCATATTAACTCCAGAAATTTAAGGAGAACACTAATTCCTACCTCATTTCCCTTGTTTCTCACGATGATCTTTGAACATAACAGGATATCGCTTTTTGTGTAAACCAGAACATGAAAAAAAATTTCTTAATGAAAAAAGTTCCTCATTCTGAGTATTGTGCAACTACATAATATAAATTCAATTCGAATAAAATCATACGGCTACACTAACTACAGAATAGTGACATGAGGATCATTTTGAGCTGTATTCGCTTCACTCCGATCTCATTAATGTTGAAAACATCGTATTGTCGTTCAGTTCTGAACGATGATATTCAATAACGAAGTAGTACATGATGAAGCACTGTCCTACTCCTGTGATTTTGCTGAATTCAATCACGAGATTCACCACTATGTAACCGGTAATCTGAACAACATTCATATGCCAATACTGAAATAATCAAATATGAGAAATTCATTGTTGTTGAAATTATGACAAAGTACAATAATTATTAATTCCAGGACTTTGAATCCAGTCAATCTTGTAAAAACTTCAGACACAAACTGTTGATATATGTGGATCAGGAGTTCATAAATCTTTTATTTTTCATAATGCTATTCGTTTACTTTCAGAATAAAAAACTTGTTTCATCTCAAATATATATATATATTTTTTTCATGTTCTGGGTCCCACGAAATTGAATATCTTGTAATGTTTAGAGAACGTCGTGAGAACCAAGGCAAATGAGGTAGGAATTGGTGTTCTTCTTGGATTTCGGGAGGTTATATGCCTCGAGGAACACCTCCCTTGGCAATGTGTTCCAGAGACTCGCTGTTCGTTGGATGAACGAGTCTTTGGAGAGAGATGTTCTTCGGGCCTCCAAAGTGACCACGAAGGGGTGCAAAGCCTCAACTCCACGGGTTAATCTTGCGGGGACTGCCAAGGGAAATACAATTGTTGATATTTCAGAAGAGCTTCGTCCATAAGGATATCTATAGAATAGAGCCATATCGCCCACTTTTCACTTGATAATCCTTCTTCTCCTCTTTCTCCTTTTTCCAAGTTATATATATACAAGTCTCTGCGGTCAAGTATTTATGAGGGTTATGTACAATAATTATTCCCTGTTGCTTACAGTTTCCTGGATAATACTATAACAAGACTGCTGGATTTGAATGTCACGCAGGTAGCTGAAGCTGCCTCTGTGGTCACGTTAGTTGTTGCTCTGGAATTCAGAGTATGTTCACCAAAACCACAAATGTGCAGCTGTCTGCTGTTCGTTGACTCCGTTTAGATTCGTTGTTTTGTCTTACACCAAGAATTGTCCACTTCTCCAACTGTACTGAGGAGGAACGAGAGTTTGAAACACCTGTCTGCTGTTTGTCTGATATTTCATTCTTTGTTGCTCGTATATACAGGGTGTACCAAAATTACATAGAAGATTCTCAATCACAAAGTCTAGAGAGAGGAAAAGTAAAAAAATTCATCAATATAAACATGGGTCCTAAAATGGCACGTTGAAGGATATTATCCATCAAAATGAAATCTCGAGATGATGTTCCTTCGTAAATATTTTCGAAATCCTTTGTGATAATGGAAACTGATTTTTCATACTACGCACCTAACTCTGCATATCTAATCTGGAAATGTTCGGAATTATTCGATACTCCGATCAGAAGCGTGTGAAATAGGTGAGGCTGAGGAAAATTTCTTTTCACCATCTCTATTGATGCAAATTTCGGCTGTATGACCAGGCCATATGAAATGATCTCCATTGTCACTCAAAAATTTTACTCCTGTTTGGTTTTGATAGTAATAACCATTTCCGAGATGAAAGAGTCTCAAGATTCATGTGCGTAATGAAAATAGAACTTATTCCATATGATATTCCAAATAACTCATTCAATCGCATTCCTCATATTTTTCATCAGACATCTATGGTAGATATTGAGGAAAGGGGCTTTCGTATCATTGAAGATATTGGAAGAATTCGGTACCAGATTGCAAAACAAAATCACCATTCTCATGTCAGAGCACAATTTTCGAATCGACAAACGAAAATGATATATGTTATCGAAACTGAACTGAATTACCTATCATCATTTCACCACTGAGGGTTCCGTGAATATTCACATCAAACTATCATCTCGGGCTCACCTTCAGATGAACGAAACCTCCTAGTGGGCCATTTTGGACCCATGTATTAATCAACTCTTCCCACCATCTTTGTGCCAAGAATCTGTGCTTGATATCTTCCTGTGTGATTCCGAAACACCCTGTACATAAATATTTATTTCAAATCAGGGAACGTATGAGAGTGCCATAGAATTCTGCAAGAACCAATCGATGCAGTTGGTCCGTATCCAGAGCAACGAGAAAAATGTGGAACTCCAGAAATACATTATGGAAAAAGGTAATTTGGTCGATTGTATCTAAGGTGGAATCGAAATACATAAAATGAACAATTGAATCCGGGATATAGCATGAAGGTCATAGATTTTCATCACTTGATGTAACATATATTTTCCACAGGCCTTCTTCATGGAGAGATAAAGATTGGTTTATTTCGAATCAGTCACGAAGTTATCGATATATTATTATTTCAGTGATAATTCATCAGGAAGAAGCTGAATTTCATTCCAAATCATACATTTCCAAAATTATTATATGATGAATGCATAGAAGGATTGGTAACTTGAATCTTTCATAAAATATACGTTAGGTACTCATCTTCATTGTCAGAAAAATTGACGGTTTTCTAGAAGAACGGTCATGAAAAAATTAAATCAATATTCAATTTTCGATGATGATTGAACACATGAGAGTACAATGAGGACTTCGTGAATTCTAGTGGGCATGACGAATCAAAGACTGATTGCTGTACTTGACATAATGAGTCAGCATAATGAAACATGATTCTTCGAAGTGGTTATGCCCTAGTTTCGATCAAAGAAGGAATTGCCTCACAGGGATAACTTCGAATGCGTGAGGTCTGATGATCAAGAAGGCCAGGCAGTAGGGCCTCCTCTACTCGTCTATCCGATTGGGAAAGACGTTATTCAGGTGCTTCCTCACAGCAACGCTGAAATGCGATGATGCTCCATCGTGCACTATTCTCATGTTTCAAGTGCTTCATCAAATCTTGGAATGCAATTTGGAGAGACTTCACTCGAAGTTTTTCATGCAATCGTGCTTGTCATACGAATGATGGAATCATAAAATTGACAATTTTTCCTATCGAGATATTGATTGATTGAAACTGATGTTGATGGTGTGTAACGATAGTGGCAAGAAGTTTATTGTCAGCATTCATGAACGTTCTATAAATCAGTTCATGCTATTTTTTCAAATAATATAGGCATAACGGCGGTATTTGAAGGATAACAGGTACTTTATCGTTGTCGATGTATTGAAGTGTGCTTATAATTCCCAAGTGGTTGTTGAAACAGTGTCAGCTATTTCCTACATTTGCAACGTAAATACTATCACTCTTGAACAAGCATGGAAACTTCTTCTTAATCCTCTCGTAATCATAATGGATGTTGAAAATATTAGTATCTATATACTCAATTAACATGTTTTTCGTATTTCGTATTAGATTAGTTCTCCATCCCCAGAAACGTTTTATTGCATCGACAATGAATCCACGAGAATTCCCGTTTCGAAATCGGGGATCAAAGTACTCAATTTTATATCTTTCTTTCCTCAAGAGGCAGTGCCAAGCATTGAGGTATCAAACACAAAGCGTTGTACACCCCTGATGAACTGTAAATGCTGAATATGTTTCAAGAACACAATTCCAAGGGGTCCTCATTAGTGTTCTTCATATTGAATACCCATTGGAATATATCATTATTGTAATGAATTCGAGAAACCTGACATTATCATCGTCCTTCAAGAAGGGGCCTGTTACAAACAGTTTGTAGGATCTTTCTATGTTATACTTTCGGGTTCTATCTGAACCTGAGGGACATTCTTTAACATCATTTTTTCGAACGTTGTGTCCCTATTCTATAACTTTCGAATTTTTAAATGAATGCTATAATAATTTATTCACATCACTCCAGTATATACTTCTTACAAGTATCGAATAAGTTGATAAGAGAATTTCAGTCTGTCGATGATAATAATTGATGATAGATCGATTAATGTATTGAATTCCATATTGCGATACGAATATCAGTTTTCCCAAAGAGTTTGATGATCATCATCAAAAATTATTCACAAGAGTGATATCAGATTGAAATTTATTTTCCAAGAAAACTGCATGATATGAATATTAGGAAATACCTCCTACCCATATTATAAACCAATGTTCTTCCACAGATAGAAACAATTACTATTGGACGTCAGGATATAGATCTCAAGATACTAAGGAGTGGTATTGGGCCAACGATACCAAGGTTTCTTTCTTCAAATGGGTGCCAGGTGAGCCAAACAACAAAGGGGGTAATGAAAACTGCATTGAACTCCTCCGGTCCAACTATGAAGCGAAATGGAATGATCAAGAATGTGAGGATCAGAATCACATAATTTGCGAAAGTATGGATTGAAAAATTCCTGTGTTAATGTACTGAATTTTGTTGCCTTGTAGACCCAATTTCTTGAGATTGTGATTGTACTGAAGTATTCCATCATTAAAATAAATATATTCTTAGTAGATATACATTGATTCATTCGAATTGAACCTGCTGGATAGCTGCGAAGTCCCAAATACTGTTGATATATACAATCCAAAGGATAACAAACCAATATGCTTTCTGAAGGTATGTTATGATGTGATGCACAGAAAATGAAGAAGCACCTTGATGAATTGTAGTTTTATCTAATGAAAGATACGTTTTCATACAGAAGACTCAACGCTATTACGAAACACTGTAGAATAATAATAGTAACCAAGAACAACGAATAATGATTGAGAAACATAATCTAGTTTACATATCATGATATAAAAGGTGTTCAGAATTGTACAGGTCTCCATTTCAACTCTTGCCCTCAATTCTGCAATAGTACATACATGAAGTAATATATCATAGATGAGTACATACCTAATACATACATTCAATTCAACATTTTGAACACAAGTTCATACCTAACACATACATTCAATTCAACATTTCAAAAACATTGAGTTTGTTCCTCAAAAATTGGAATTGGAAAAGTGTTAGAGCTTTAGTCATGATATCTGCTAATTATTGGTGAGTTGGTACATATTTCATGAAAAACTTTCCATCATCCTCCAAATCTTTCACAAAATGTGGTTTCACATCGATGTGTTCAATTCTCTTTGTTCAATATGTCTGAGCCATTTTGATACAGCCCTGATTATCTTCATAGACCTTCATTGGAAATACAGGTTCAAATATGTCTTCTAACAACTTAGCTAGAAATAAGGATTCAGAAATATATGCTTATCAAAAATTCTGCCTCACTAGTCGATTGAGCAACAACTGTTTGTTTTCTAGAGCACCAACATACCACATTATTATTCATAAGGATAATGAAGCCACTAACACTTCTGCTGTCATTAACATCACTTGCACAATCAGAATCAAAATATGGAGATAAATTTATTTCTGAGAGAACGTTATTATCACTACAGAAAAAAACAAAATTTCCTGTTTTTTTCAAATATCTGATAACATTTTCCAGATGTTTTCGATGAGTGTCTGAATAACAGTTGTTGTGGAATCTACCGAAATATGATACTTCAAAACATGAATCAGGTCTTGAGCCTGACATCAAATACATTGATGGACCTATCCGTTTTTTTATGGTACTTTGAAATCGTTATTTCCTGAACCTTTTCCAAGATATAATTTTGGTTGCATTGAAATCTTGGAAATTTCACAATCATTCACCCTAAATTGATTAATTACTTTCTTCACAAGTTTTTTCTGACTCATACAAATCTAATCATCATCTCTCACAATTTCAAGACAAAGAAATGTGATATTTTCACTGGTCAAGTCCCTTATATCAATAATTTTCATTAACTCACTCTTAACCCTAACAACATCAGAGATACTGCTAGAAGATAGGATGAAATCATCCATCCATATTGGAATATATGTCACATTATTGAAATATAAACAAGGATCAACATCTGATTTCTTGAATTTCAAATTCAACAATGGGCTATTGATATATTCAATCCAACAATTTGGACTTTCACGTAAACCATACAAAGATTTCACTAACTTATATACTAGACCTGGTGAACTCACTTTCAACTCATCTGGTGCCTTTCTGGATTCTTGAGTTCACTTTTCAAAGAGGCGGACTTCACATCTAACTGATGAATATATGAGTTTCTTACAGCTGCCACTGCCAACAAGAACCTCAGAGTCAGTATTCTTGCTACAGGAGCATAAAAATGTTTTTCCACTGATGGTTGTTGATATCCTCTAGCAACAAGACGTGCTTGCTCCTGTGATGCACCATCCACTTTTTTCTAAGTGAGAACCCACCTGGAATCAATAATTTGTACATCAGGTGGAGGCATCACCATTCACCTCGTGCGATTTTTTCCTAAAGCAGAAAGTTTTCTATCTATGGCCTCCCTACAACCATTGTTTAGTACAACAGCTTCTTGATAGCTTCTTGGTAATTCTGAGGGTGGGTTCCCAGCAGACAACGCCATCATGAGATCCACTCCATGATCATCTAGGTATCCAGGCATTCTTTTGGCACGACAACTCCTACGAAGACTTTCACCTTCTTTTTGAACATTCCTCTGGTTCTCATGAAGGCTCAGACAGCAAACTTACGTACAATGTACGTAAGTTGTACATATAGTCATTGGACGTAATGAACGTACATGGTACGTACCTAAAATTCATTTTATCAACGTAGTACGTCTCTCGTACGTACATCATAAGTTATTTCATGGAACACAAATGGAGGACAAATGACTTATGACGTTTGACATGTAGCGTTTGGCATATAACGTTCGACATATAATGTTCGACATATGACGTTTCGTTGTTTTGATATTTCGTCGCTCTGACACTTCGTCGTTCTGACGTTTTGTTCTTTCATCGTTCCTACATTCTGTCGTTCCATATCTCAGGATGGATTATGAACAGAATGATCAGTAAATTGGTCTGACCAACGACAGATGACCGTGTGAACCACTTATTTACGTCTTTCCAGGAATTCTCGCAGTCATAATATCAGCTTCCCGGTATATTGACGAAAATACATAATACACTAGACGGATTGTGGAAGCCGAACCGTTCAGCTGGAGCATCTGCGAAATATTTGTTCCTGATGATGTACTAATTCATCAACACGATATAAATAAACATTGAATCTTTGGATGCATCAATGATTGATATCATTCTGTTCCATGTCATGGGAATCTTCATCGGTACATACAATCATGCTGTTATATCATCCATTTGATAGTGAATGAGGAACTGGGTGGAAGAGAGAGTGTGGAGAAGAGGCAGAGAAATGAATATTTCGGATTATTATGAGTCAAGGAAATTCATACAAAATAGTTTCATATTGTCTTCAGGCGTGCACTAGAAAAATTTGGATTGAAGAAGGGAGCTCAAAACAGATATTCAATTGTATCAGCTGAAAGTTTGTCTGTTCGGAAATTGAGAGATATTGAGTGTTTCGGTAAGAGTATTCACTGAACCGATACGTACAGTTTCAACTTCATTTACATCGGGAAGGATCCAAACAACATACTGAGAGGAAGCTTCATTTCAGCTCCGAGCAACGACGTCTTCTACACAAACATACCTTACAATATGAAGAATGTTCCGATGTATAATGTCAGAAATTGCATGGGCAATCTGGAGAAATAATTGTAACATATTCTTCATACATTCACATCAAATGAAAATTCTCTCAGACAAACAATATGGATTCAGATCAAATATGTCGACACAAGATGCGATTAACCAACTATGTACCAGAATAAGCCAATGTATGGATGAAAAACAACCCGCACTTTGCATATTTGTCGATTTGGCAAAGGTGTTCGACACAGTTTCTCATGAGCAATTGCTAGATATATTGGAGGGTATCGGCTTCAGAGGAATACCCAACAAACTAATGAGAAACTATTTATTGAATAAAAAACAGCTTGTGAAAATCAATGATTCGTCAAGTAATACAGCAACTATTGAATATGGTGTTCCACAAGGAACTGTTCTGGGACCCGTGCTTTTCAATATATATTTGAATGACCTATTCAAATTAGAGCTGAATGGAGAGATAGTTAGTTTCGCAGATGACACGGCAATCCTGTTCACCAATAAAGATTGAAATACTTTGAAATATCAGGCAGAAACGGACTTCCAAAAATTAACAGAATGGTTTGACAGTCGATTGATAACCATCAACTTCGGCAAAACTCATTATATCCCATTTACATCCTACTCGAACAGCTTACTTGAATTTGACTCACTATCTGTACACAGAAATGACACGTTATTGAACATACGGTCAGTTAACTCACTCAAATATCTAGTCATCTCAGATGGGATGCTCATATCAATTATATGACCAAAAAATTAAGGTGCACTCTATATAAATTCAAATGCCTCTCTAAATTATTGAGAATGGAACAATTACGAATTCTATATCATGCTCTGGCAGAAAGTCACCTTTGCTATGGTATCATCGCATGAGGAGCTACGAACAACGTCCATATCAGAAGCCTTGAAGTCATACAAAATTGCATCATGAAAGTCATATATAAAAAGCCTCGGCTTTATTCTTCTGATCTGCTGTACTTGAAAACAGCATTCATGGACTTGAGACAGTTGTACTTTCTAACTATAGTAGTAAGGCAACACAAATATAAATCGGACCTCATAGCTATATCGCATGACTATGATACACGCACTAAAGCTAGGTTCAATAAAGTACCAAGATGAAAAAAAATATATTACAAAAGTCCTATTTCTACTTAGGTCTCAGATTATTCATTGAATTGCCATTGCAGCTGAGGAACCTTCATTCAAATTCACAATAATTCGAAATCAGAATAAAAAAGTGGATGAAATAAAAGCCAAGAATAGAAATTCATCAACTGATCCACAGTAGTAATACATCATAACACATACCAAAACACATAACACCTCGCATAATAAAACACATAATCTCAAGCTGACACTGTGATTCAATCCAGCTCATCAAGAATGATTCTTACGCGGGCTGACTCTTATTTGGAATTCGAAATTCCATCAATGATAATTGTATGCATCCTTTGAATCATTCCTTCACTTCATCTTTCATTTCATATAACCTGTTTCAACTATGAAAAATATAAATTATTAGTCTCAGGTCACCATGTTAACGGTATTGGCATATAGGTAGGGAATTATATATTAAAAGTAACCCCAAACATACACGTATCAGACGTCATGAATTTAGAAGCACTTCCGAGGTCTACCTTTAGTGGCATCCAAATTTATTTACCGTCTCTCTTAATATACCTATGTATCGAAATTTTGTGATAATTTTTGTCTATGGAAATTTTTTGTACATTGCCCATATTATATTCTGGTAAATAAATCATTATTATTATTAT